CCCGCTCTGGCGAGGCGAGGAAAGCGGGGCGAAGCGGGACGAAGGGGAGAGAAGTGAGGTGACATGGGGGTGAAGGGAGGTGAAGTGAGGCCAAATGGGGCGAAGTGGGGCGAAGTGAAGCGATATGTAACGAATTGAGGCAAATATGGGTGAAGTGGGACAAAGAGAGGTGAAGTGGCAAAATGGGGAGAAGTGAGGCGAACTGAGACGAAGAGAAGCAAAGTTGGATAGTACATAAGCGAAGTAGGGTGAAGTGGAGCAAAGAAGAGTAGTATGGGAGCGGGAAGGGCAGAGAGTAGCGGGGCAGAGAGAAGCGGTTCTGAGAGAAGTGGGGCAGAGAGAAGAGGGGGAGAGAGGAGCGGGGCAGAGAAAATTGGGGCAGAGAGAATTGGGGAAGAGAGAAGAGGGGCAGGGAGAAACGCGGTAGAGAGAAGAGAAGCAGAGAAAATCAAGGCAGAGAGAAGCGTAGCAGAGACAAGCGGGGCAGAGAGAAGCGGGGAGAGAGAATCGGGGCGTGAAGATCGAGGGTGGGGAACAGGCACTGAGAAGGACTGATAGAGGTTGCCCCTGGACGGCTTAATGCGAACAGGAATTGGGTGGGTCCAGTAGAATGGGGAATGGGACAAGATGGGGGCACAAGAGCTGAATGGGATGGAGAGTGATGACGGAGTGGGGCGGGAAGGTTCTGTGAGAAGACCGAGGCGGGGTGGAGCCGGGAAGGATGTACAGAAACAAGGGGGGAAAGAGAAGAAGCAGAGTGGAGCGGTTGCAGATGAGCACGGAGGTGCGGAGTTCACAAAGAAAAAGAGAATGACCGAGAGCGTGTTAGGCAGGGTATGGGAGATTGCATACGAAGGGTTTGGGCGGGAGAGGAGCGGAACGTTGTGAGACGTGGAGAATCTAGACAGGAGAGGAGGAGCAGTTCGTGATGGAGATGAGTGAGCGGGGGGGAGAGGAAGAAGCGTGGAGAAGTCGGGAAGTACTAGGACGAAGACAGTGGGAGCACAGAGGTATGAAGTGGAATGAAATAAGCAGGATGGGGACGACCAAATTGAGAAGGGTAGAGCGAGGAGGGGTGGGATTGAACAGCGAGAACATGGAGGAGAGGAAGAGTAAAGATGAAATAATGAGGGGAGTGGGGATGAGTGGGTAGATTCTGGACTGAGAAGAAAAGAAAAGTTAGTAGGAACGGAGAAGGTTATTGGAGATGTGAAGGGATGCAGAGTGGGTAGGAGCGGAGCGAGGGGGAGTAGTGAGTACAGAAGAGGCGGAGAGGAGTGCTTTGTGCAATGATAAGAGAGAGGGAAGGAATGGGAAGAAGCGGAGCGGGGCGGGGTTGGTGGGCAGAATGCGTGCGATCACGCATGCGGCGAGGAGCAACCCAGGGTAGCGGGGCGTGAGTGTGTTGATTTAGCCGCGGGACCTCCGGACAGTGCCGCTCCTTGCATAAATTAAATCAGCGATTTCGAAAACAAGGGGAGTCTCCGAAATTTGTGCGGGAACGGGGTGCGTAAGTCAACAAAACGTGAATATAAATAATGTATAGGGTCGCACGTTTTTTTATCAGGAATATGAAAGCGCGGAACAGCTTTTAATATACGTTCCAGAGGGGAGTTTTATTCGCTGAAAATTCAGAATATTCCGGATATCCGCTCAAAGGAAAAGAGAGAGTAATGTTTTAGGGCTAGTGAATTTTATACTCGTTGAGAAGACCGACTTTTAACCTTTCTGAAGAACATTCAGGAGATTTGGCTGACTCATTTTCAACTTACGCCGTCCGCTAATGTAGCAACAGGCCCTTATCACTATCGTAGACCAAATTTTCCTTCACTAATGCGTAATTTTAGAGATAAAAGAAAACTCATTTTGAAAATGTTTATTCTACTTCTATTTTTCTATTTAAATTATATTTCTATCTTTTATTCATACATGCTTCTTTACTATGATTATTAATTGAATAAAAATGCAAGGATATAATGAAGAATAAATTTCCTTCGTTCTCGAAAATTTTTTGCATTCTACTTCACACTCATAGTAGAAGTATATACGTCCGTAAAGAAACGTTTTTGAAGAAAATGTCATTAACAAATGCCAACTCCCCTCAGCTCAGGGCATATTATTTGTAGAAAATCTGCATGTAATAGCTCCAAAATATTTCAACCACTATCTGTTCCTTCTCTCCAAAAAAATAAAGTTTTGTCAGTTTTTGAAGAAAAGTTTGTTGTTTTGTGGAGGAAAAAAATTCGTAGATCATTTAAATGGGTCAGTTAAGAATTGTCATTGAATCCATTCCGGAGCAATCAATCTTAATCTATACTCAACATTACCCCACTGATTGAATATGATTATTACGAGATTTATCATCACTCGTGGCTCATCGTTATGCTATGCTGAGGACTTTGGAATGCAATGTGGCTGAATATTTCACAAATATGTGCCGTTTCTTTGTGAATATTCAGTTTTAATGGTATTAGATGTGTGCTTGAAAAAGAGAGACAGAAGCCCGAAAGATCGCCAATAAGTGCTAGAATAGAGACAGATAAAAAGTCAGGGGGGTGCGAAGAGGAAAAAGAGAGAGAGAAAAGGTCGAATGAGAGAGAGAGCGAGAAACTGTAAGAGAGAGTATAGGATCGAAAGAAAATCGACGTTCAATGATCTGAACATATAAAATTAGCGTGAATGCATTGGTTTGGAATTATTAATCAACTAATAAATTAACTCTAAATACTCATTTATAACGGCATGATAAATACAATCTTTAATTTGCATACAGATCTGTTAAATAGAGAAATGGAACTGGAAGACACAACATGTGAAGTCAATTGCTCGCTATGGAGAGGTTTCGCATTCCTGATTTCCAAACACATTTTGTAAACCATGTTAACTTTGCATCGGTTCCATCGGTCTTCCTGGCAGAATCCATCCTATTCGTCCATCTAACAGTCATTACGTGTGTGTGCTGTAAATAATTCTCTTACGCTTCCGACGCTCTGTATTTAGTTTCGGAAGAAAAATCACTGCGCCCCCTCCCGGGAGATTCACCGCTTCTCATATCGAGAGGCCCCGTATTTATCCGCTCGGGAGGCGTTTTTCCGCGACGGAGCTCTCTCTGGAAAACTAATGATAGGATAGCGAGGTTTGTGGAGCGACAAAAACAGTTCATTTCACGGCTCACTTGCGTCCGAGGGCCAGACTGCGAGCGCTCTCCCAAGAATCGGCCCTGTGACGACCACAGTGGCTCACTCCGACGCCGTCCTTCCCGGACGTAAATTTTTGCTTCCGCTTATTTTCTACGAAAACGCTCCCACTTTCATTAAGTCCTACTGTTACCGCGACACAACTCTCACGTGAGCTCCGAAGGGAGATGGCGAGTGGACGGCCCCCAGAGCGTATGTTAAATCAATATTTATTTTCGCGTGGATGTGGAGGTTTGCGCGAAGCTTCTGGCGTTGGTTCACTCTGGAGCCCAGAAGTTTTTGAATGTTACATCGAACCAGCGGTGTTAGGCGCGGCTCCATCCGTGTTTTACGAGACCTCAAGGGACTACTCTTTCCCCTACTACTCGAGAACTATTTCATTTAACGGGATGCGGCTTTTTCGGTAGAACGGAAGCGTGAATTTACTACGCTTTTAGCGGGCGATTTCCTGCCTTCCCTCTCAACCCCCTCCATTTTCACTCCCGCCCCCTCCCTCGCTCTCCCGGAGGATTGGAAGCTTGATGTCTGGACCTTCTCACCAAAGAAATGTGCGACATCCGACTCCCCCTAATTTGCGAGTTATGGGGTGCGCCTAAAAGCTCGGAGACGGACGTGGCGGTAAAGTGGGCGTGGTGGGTGGGGGTGAGGAGGGGGGAGGGGATAAGAGGACGGCTGATGTTAATGGGTTTCGAGGCGCCGCCATGACAGCTAAGGGCGTCAGGGGCCGGGGTCGGTATGACGACGGGTGAGGTGGGCGCGGGAGAGGCGCTGAGGGGCCAGGGGGCCGTGCATCTCGCTTTGACAGTCGGTGCCAAGAGGCCGAGCGCCGTCCCTCGTAAAATCCCGCGCGAGGCGCGGCGCTAGCTGAGGGCTTCGCAGGGCGTGGGCGACGGTGCGGCGCCGAGGGGCGGGGTCACCCGGCGAGGCCATTTGCGCACCCTCCGTTGGCTTCCTTATGGAGCTCCTGTGCTAATTCACGTTTTACTTAGCTTCACTCAAACAGGAATGTTTTTTGCTGGTGATTTTTAATAGAAAGTTTCGCAAAACGGTAACCTCTCTCGGGTCTCTTCTCGTAAAAAGGCGAAACTGACTGACAACTCTAACGATGATCATTCGCAGATACTTTCAGTAATATGAAATTTAGACAATACTATTTACATGTGTGGTGGTAGAAAGGAAGCGTCATGGTAGATGTAAACTAGTTTTATATTCGTATTTCCAAGAATGGTCACAAGGAAAGCAAATCATTTTCAGATAGCACATTTCATTAGAAATGAGGTTGGAAGGACAGTGTACGAAATTCATTAATACAGTTTCTTTTTTTCCTGATATATTTTATATCCTCTTGTTTTTAATGCAGTACGCTATCTAACATAATTCAACGATCAGTTAAGATTACACAAGTAATTCATGCGTGCTCGGCTTTTGTATATTTTCTAATTTAATAATTTTCGATTTAACTTTATTAAATATAAAATACTTATACTTTTATATCAAAGCAAAATAAACATGGACTGTAAAATGTTATACACCGTGTAAGTATAAAAGTACACGATATTCAAGGAATTACTTCTAAAAGCAGTGGGAAGCAGAAATGTAATTGAATTTCTCATGATTGACCGCAAAAATTATTAATAACAATGATAATAACAACAATTATTATTATTAGAATTATTACAAAAGGCTAATAATGGCACCGCCTCTATATAAATGGTGGTGACAAATTTCTATCAGCAAAAGCGTCGTACACTGGAAACGTTTAAGTAACGTAAGCAGCCCAGAAGTGGGTGGGAGGCGATTTACCTTGGAGAGCGTGGTGGGGTGCGGGTAGAGGTTGACGAGGCAGCTTTCGCGGCGCAGTCTGTAGTCCCAGCGTGTCTCCAAGTGCGGGATCTCCATGTTGTCGCAGATGGACTGCACGTGACTGGCCGTCTGCGCCGACTGCGGCCCGAAGATGGCCGCCACGCCGCTGCGCAGCAGGTGGCACACT